CGTGCCACCACACCCAGCTAACTTTTGTATTTTTAGTAGAGATGGGGTTTTACCATGTTGGCCAGGATGGTCTCGATCTCTTGACCTGGTGATCTGCCCCCCTCAGCCTCCCAAAGTGCTGGGATTACAGGTGTGAGCCACCGCGCCTGGCCAAAATCTTTTTTATATTCAGTCTAAGTTAAAAACCACAAAATGTATAAACAAAAAAAAAAAGGTAATCAATTTGTTATAACATGGAGCACTGCTAAAGATCAAGCTTGTACACAACCTGGTAAATAAATCCGTAATTAAGCGCTTAGGAGCATAAAAAATGACAAGTATAAGACATTTCCATTGTGGGTAACTCATGAGTTTCTCTCCAGGTATACGACATCCCTCCCTCATCAGTGAAAGGCCCTGTGTTTTCAGTTCCAGTGGGAGAGATAAAACCTCAAGGGGTGTATGACATCCCGCCTACAAAAGGGGTAAGTGAGTGACTACAAAGCAGCAAAAAGGAGTGTGAGTGTGTGTGCGTCTGTGTGTCGAGGGGCATGGGGTTGGGAGGAGGGTGGGTAAGTGGTTTATTGGAATAAAACAAGAAAGGCAAACCCAAAAGGGGAAAATGTAGTCTTGGTGAGAGTAAAGGAAGGAAGCAAAAAAGGAAAGGCTCATTAAAGATAGCTCTAGGGATTTCATATTGAGGAGCCGCAACTAAAAAACATTGGGAGGCCAATAAGGAGAACCCTTTGGCAGGGAAGATAATTAGTTTGGCAAGTACTAATATATATTTGTAGAGGGTTTGTTTTGTTTTGTTATGTTTTGTTTGAGACAGGGTGTCGCTCTGTCACCCAGGCTGGAGTGCAGTGGTGCAATCACAGCTCATTGCAACCTTGACTTCCCAGGCTCAAGCAATCCTCCCACCTCAGTCTCCCAAGTAGCTGCCTCTTACCTCAGCGTCCCAAGTAGCTGTGACCTCAGGTGCATGCCACCATGCCTGGCTAATTTTATTTTTTGTGGAGACAGCATCTCCCTATGCTGCCCAGGCTGTTTTTGAACACATGGGCTTAAGTGATCCTATTACCCTGGCCTCCCAAAGTGCTGGGACTACAGGCGTGAGCCACCACGCCTGGCCTGTAGAGGGTTTGACAGTTTTCTCAGTCTGTATGTTTGGGTGAACTCGTTTGACTCACTCTGTTACCCTCTGGGGTATGCCTGCACAGAGCACGGTAATCCCTACTTTACAGACAAGGGGACTGTGTTTCAGACACCTATGCAGCTCATTCAGCATCACACAGCTGGTGTAATAACCGAAGAGACCAGGGGAGACCTCTGGTCTTACTCTGCTGCTCGGCACAGATCAGCAGAGAAAGGATACCCAGGAAGTGGTCAGAAATGTAGGACTGGAACACAGGGGTGAGCAATTTAACCAGCAGGGTTGCACATGCAAGTCTACACCAAGAACATGTGGGTGGACACACTTGTCAAAGGACAAGGGAAGTGGCAGCAGAATAGCGGAGAACCCTGGAAGTGCCTAACATTGGGGGCGGGGGAAGGCGACCGAAAAAGTGACAGCAAATAGGACTGAGCACATGGGACCGCATGCTCCCACGAGCCAACTCAATAAATAGCATTTCGCTTTCTACTCGCTTTTCAGGTATATGCCATTCCACCCTCTGCTTGCCGGGATGAAGCAGGGCTTAGGGAAAAGGACTATGACTTCCCCCCTCCCATGAGACAAGCTGGAAGGGCAGACCTCAGACCTGAGGGGGTTTATGACATTCCCCCAACCAGCGCCAAGCCAGCAGGAAAGGACCTTCATGTAAAATACAACTGTGACATTCCAGGAGCTGCAGAACCCGTAGCTCGACGGCACCAGAGCCTGTCCCCGAACCACCCACCCCCGCAACTGGGACAGTCAGTGGGCTCTCACAACGACGCATATGATGTCCCCCGAGGCGTTCAGTTTCTTGAGCCACCAGCAGAAACCAGTGAGAAAGCAAACCCCCAAGAAAGGGATGGTGTTTATGATGTCCCTCTGCATAACCCGCCGGACGCTAAAGGCTCTCGGGACTTGGTGGATGGGATCAACCGATTGTCTTTCTCCAGTACAGGCAGCACCCGGAGTAACATGTCCACGTCGTCCACCTCCTCCAAGGAGTCCTCACTGTCAGCCTCCCCAGCTCAGGACAAAAGGCTCTTACTGGATCCAGACACAGCTATCGAGAGACTTCAGCGGCTTCAGCAGGCCCTGGAGATGGGTGTCTCCAGCCTAATGGCATTGGTCACCACCGACTGGCGGTGTTACGGATATATGGAAAGACACATCAACGAGATACGCACGGCGGTGGACAAGGTGGAGCTGTTCCTGAAGGAGTACCTCCACTTTGTTAAGGGAGCTGTTGCAAATGCTGCCTGCCTCCCAGAACTCGTCCTCCACAACAAGATGAAGCGGGAGCTGCAGCGAGTCGAAGATTCCCACCAGATTCTGAGTCAAACCAGCCACGACTTAAATGAGTGCAGCTGGTCCCTGAATATCTTGGCCATCAACAAGCCCCAGAACAAGTGTGACGATCTGGACCGCTTTGTGATGGTGGCAAAGACGGTGCCCGATGACGCCAAGCAGCTCACCACAACCATCAACACCAACGCAGAGGCCCTCTTCAGACCCGGCCCTGGCAGCTTGCGTCTGAAGAACGGGCCGGAGAGCATCATGAACTCAACGGAGTACCCACACAGTGGCTCCCAGGGGCAGCTGCTGCATCCTGGTGACCACAAGGCCCAGGCCCACAACAAGGCACTGCCCCCAGGCCTGAGCAAGGAGCAGGCCCCTGACTGTAGCAGCAGTGATGGTTCTGAGAGGAGCTGGATGGATGACTACGATTATGTCCACCTACAGGTAAAACAGCCGAACTCATAAAACACCTACGCTCACTCACATGCAGGGAGCCTGAGACAGATGCCTGTAAGGATGTCGGGTTGGACTACCAAAGGAGAGCACACGATTAATGTTAATCCACATGGTTCACAAATTGGAGGGAGTGTTGTAGAGTAGGAAGAACGCTGGACTGAGAGTCCTGAGTACTCACTCAGCTCTAGCCCTTTCTCTGACATTTACTGTGTGACCAACTTATTCAACCTCCTTGGGCCTTAATTTCCTCATTTGCAAAATGAATGGTGTAAGGGGCTGGATTAGATCCCATTGATACCTCAGGTAAGAGGAGACTCACCAAGTAGGATAATAGGCCCTCTAATGATATTACCACCTCTACTTCTATTTGTGTTTTAGGTATAGTTGCATATAATAGTTTATTTGAAAAAAAAAGTTTTCATCATTAAGAAAAATAGAAAACCTTTGCACTAAAGAATTTCTAAGACCCCTGCTAGCCCTACTCTGTGTGTGTGTGTGTGTGTGTGTGTATGTGTATAATTGCTTTAAAACTTAGCCCCATCTCAGACTTTCCTAGAGGACCACTGGGCATTAGCTAGTTGTCCTAGGAGCTTAATCTGTGTATGGGACATTGGACAATCACAGTTGGCCTCCTACAATTGGGAATTCCACTAAGCTCCAAGCTGACCTGGGATTCCAACAGCTTTCCCTTCCACTTTGAGGGATTAAAACATTCTACTGGCCAGGCACAGTGGCCCGGGGGCGGTGGTTCACACCTGTAATCCCAGCACTTTGGGAGGCTGAGGCAGGTGGATCACAAGGTCAGGAGTTCAAGACCAGCCTGGCCAATATGGTGAAACTCCGTCTCTACTAAAAATACAAAAAATAGCCAGGCGTGGCGGTGCATGCCTGTAGTCCCAGCTACTTGGGAAGCTGAGGCAGAAGAATCGCTTGAACCTGGGAGGCGGTGGTTGCAGTGAGCTAAGATTGCGCCACTAGACTTTAGTCTGGGTGACACAGCGAGATTCCATCTCAAAAAAAAAAAACTACCAAGATCCATTATTTAGGACTAGGCTTACTATCTTATTCTGCCATTCTTTTAATTTGACTGAGAGTCACAAATTATACTGAGAACTATGTAACTATTATGCCAAATTCCCTTGAGCGCGAGAAAGTGTGGCAAGGAGAACTGAGCCTCACCTGGTGCTGAGGAAGGGAGTGGAGAGACAGGATGGAGGCATTGAACATTCACCTTACTCGTTGTCTGACTCTGCACAGTGGGAAATACTGCCTTGGAGCAGAAATCTATAGATGATTTGAGGGAACTGGAAGTGAGAGGTGGACCACATTTAGACCTGCGTTTGGGGGTTTATGGGTTCACATATAATCTATGAGAAAAGAACTCAGAGAAGTAGTACATTTATATAGGAGATTTTAAGGGAATCATGAGTAGCTCTCTGAAAACTGTAAGATGCCCCAGAAAGCTGGCACCCTATATGGCAATGGGCTTTATTTTTCTGCCACCCCTGTCTAGGGTTCACAGTGCCTCACTGAGCATTTGAGATGTTGCCAAGGCAGTGGAAAATAAAGAGTATTTACTCATCTGTCAATGAAATTGTTAGCATAAGTGAATCACAGTGATGACATAATAATGTTCTTTATGTTGAAAATTAACAGGGTAAGGAGGAGTTCGAGAGGCAACAGAAAGAGCTATTGGAAAAAGAGAATATCATGAAACAAAACAAGATGCAGCTGGAACATCATCAGGTAAGTTCAATCAGAGCAAAAGCTGCTTGGTGTTGGAAAGATTTCCCACCTAGTACTAAGGAGAGTTGTAACTTCAAGAGATTATGATTTCGATTCTTCCAGCTCACTGGCAAGAATCAGCTCTAAAGCACGGAATGGGGTTTAAAAGCAAAGAGAAGGTTTATGACCTTGCTAGTTCATCTGGGTGTACCTGGGTTACATCTAAACAGCAATTTTTTAAAGGCTAAACCTGCGTATCTAACATATGAGGACTACTTGGGTTAAGGCATTTGGTCTCAAGAAACAAGACCCATTCAAGCTAGCCTAAGCAAGCAAGTTTACAGTAAAGTCATAGGAGGGGAATTCAGTAACAGAAAATGAAGATATAGCCAGGTCTGGTGAGAACTAGAACTGTACATTCTCTCTCCTTCTTGTACTTCCTTTGCTTTTTTCCTATAAATCTGTTCACTCTCCCCTATTTTCTGGTTTTCTCTGCTTATCTACTCATTTGGCTCCCCTGTAACTTTGCAGAACCCATAAATGGCCACTCAGAACTTCTATAGATGGCTTCTCATCTCAGCGTCCCCTTCTGATGGTTAGCTCCCTTCTCTTGTTCATCAGATTCCTAAGGAAGAGTCTGATTGGGTCATTTTGATTGGGCCATTTCTCTCTTTCTCTCTCTCTCTCTCTCTGTGCATGTGTGTCTCTACCTCTCTCTCGCCAACAACACAAGCCTATGCTTTGGCTGGCCTTGGTCCAATCTAAGGGCACGAGAGCAGAATTCAATGTTTTCAACATATATCCAGGCCCATCTACTGAGGACTTTGGGCAGGGCATGTTCATTCAAAAGTTGGGTATGAGTAGGGCAGATAATGATGAGTATTGGTAGGACAAGGGCATAAAAATAAAGAGAGATGGATTGAGGATTTATTTACAAGCCTTTCAAGATGAAATGAAGTGAAATGGCATGTAATGACATTAAATGACATGCTGTATTTAGGAAATTTGAGTTCTAATCAATTCTGGCCAACCAACTATGTCAAGTGAGGTAACCTCCCCAAGCTTCAGTTACTACTCTATAAAATGGGAAAGTACCCCCTGCCCATCTAATGGTATGATATATTGATGAACATATTTGCATAAAGCCTAAGATATATAAAATATAATCCATTATGATTAAATATCTTGGAATATCACCTTGTACCTGTTTGTTTGCCTTGGCATCTGGCAAGGTAAGATTGCAGGGCTTTGGGGAACTTGTTGAAACCATAGCAATCCCTAAGAAGAAAATGGATTCTAGAAAAGTAAAGCTGGCTATGCATTTCTCAGAGAAGCTGGGTGAGGTGATCACTGCTCCAGCTCATCCCTACCTCCAGGTGGGAGTTAACTGAGTCCTAAGCTCAGGTCACAGATAGTCCTTACCTGCAGAAGAGAGGTCTCTCCTGAGTCTTAGTGGAATCCCCAGAAATTATTATATTGCAATTTAAATAATACACCATTTGGAAGCAATGAGGAAAGAAGGAAGAAAGCCAGCACCTGATGCATCTGACTCTGGGTGAGACCCCCTTGTTTTAACAGCTCTGGGGGACTAAATCTTATGATGCACAATTCCCACTCAGACTTCTTTAGAAATTTTTTTTTCCTTAAGTGCTCATATATTTATATGCATTAATCTTCCTGTAGCGCTGGATCATAACATGTCTATCAATCTTGACAGAAAGAGTAGGATAAACAGAAAGGGGTCATGAATGGCCATTTCATCTGAGCATCCTGAGATAGTCAAGGCTTTCTCCAAGAAGGAGCAAACTGTCAGGGACTTACTTGACAAGGAGGTCACTACATATGGTTTTCCCTTGCCACCACTCAACATTAATAAACATTTACATAGAGCCTATTACATACCAAACTATTCTAAGCACTTTGTAAACGTTAATTATTTTACCTCCATAAAGGTATGGGTAACAGGGCTGCGGTTTAAACCCTATGCTGCCTTCTAGCCAGAGGTTACAAGAGACCAGTGGTCCAATCATAAAAGTTCTAAGCTTGAGGATCATCTTTCCCAACGTGTACATTTTACAATTTAGGAAAGCAGGGCAGCTTGACCCAGGTTGCAAAGCTCACATGCATCTAACAGTTATTAGGGACTAAAATCCCTGTCTTTTAACTCCAAGCCCTGGTTAATTTCCATTGCAACACATTCCCTTGCTCTAATGAGATCTACTTTCGCCTTCCTTGCAGCTGAGCCAGTTCCAGCTGTTGGAACAAGAGATTACAAAGCCCGTGGAGAATGACATCTCGAAGTGGAAGCCCTCTCAGAGCCTACCCACCACAAATGGCGGCGTGAGTGCGCAGGATCGACAGTTGCTGTGCTTCTACTATGACCAATGTGAGACCCATTTCATTTCCCTTCTCAATGCCATTGACGCGCTCTTCAGTTGTGTCAGCTCAGCCCAGCCCCCGCGAATCTTCGTGGCACACAGCAAGTTTGTCATCCTTAGTGCACACAAACTGGTGTTCATTGGAGACACACTGACACGGCAGGTGACTGCCCAGGACATTCGCAACAAAGTCATGAACTCCAGCAATCAGCTCTGCGAGCAGCTCAAGACTATAGTCATGGCGACCAAAATGGCCGCCCTCCATTACCCGAGTACCACGGCCCTGCAGGAAATGGTGCACCAAGTGACAGACCTTTCTAGAAATGCCCAGCTGTTCAAGCGCTCTTTGCTGGAGATGGCAACGTTCTGAGAAGAAAAAAAGAAGAAGGGGACTGCGTTAATGGTTACTAAGGAAAACTGGAAATACTATCTGGTTTTTGTAAATTATCTATTTTTGTAGATATTTTATATGAAAATGGAATATTTTAACATTTTAAGGGTTAGACAACTTTCAGAAATTCAGGGAGCTGGAGAGGGAAATCTTTTTTTCCCCCGAGTGGTTCTTATGTATACATAGAAGTATCTAAGACATAAACTGTACAGAGACTTGTCCACGTTCTTTTGTATGCCTGTGTATTCATGTTTGTTTGTAGATGTTTGTCTGATGCATTTCATTAAAAAAAAAATGAATTAAGAAGCACCTTAGTAAGCACCTTCTAATGCTGCATTTTTTTGTTGTTGTTAAAAACATACCAGCCGGTTATAATATTGTTCTCCATGTCCTTGTGATTCTGAGCCTGGCACTCCCAAATCTGAGAAGTATAGTATATTTGCAAATGTTCACCTTCCAAATCATGAGACATAGCACGACTTATTCTTGTTTTGAAAACTCTTTTCAAAATTGATCATCTTAAACACATGATGGCCAAGTGCCCAAAGGCCCTTTTGCAGAGCAAATTTCAGAATATGTATGTGAATCCAAGCTCTGACAGTTCAGGTGCTGGAGGGAGGAGAGACCTGTGTGTTTAGAGGCCAGGACCACAGTTAGGATTGGATTGTTTCAATACTGAGAGACAGCTGCAATAAAAGGAGGGCAATTGCCTCCCTGGGGCTGTTCGATCTTCTGCATTTGTGAGTGATTCAGTCATGAGGTTTTCCAAAAGATGTTTTTAGAGTTGTAAAAACCATATTTGCAGCAAGGATTCAAAAAGGCGTATCAGACTATGATTGTTCACCAAAACAGGGGAATGCTTTGATCCGCCAGTTACAAGTAGAGGCCTTTCTGACTCTTAATATTCACTTTGGTGCTACTACCCCCATTACCTGAGGGAAACTGGCCAGGTCCTTGATCATGGAACTACAGAGCTACCAGGATGTATCCTGCTCTCTAAGGGAATTTATTGCTGTCTTGCACCTTCTTTAAAACTCACATATGCAGACCTGACACTCAAGAGTGGCTAGCCACACAGCGTCCATCTAATTTTTACAATTTCCTGTGGCCGATGTGTATAACCCCTACCACTATCTCACAGGTAGCCACAGTATCCATTCTATAGTCCGTCTCCTCACACCTGTTAGTATTGACATAGCACAAACACCACAAGCCATCATGTTCTTCATGGGGCAAGCGAAATACTTCTACCCCATGGGTAAATGTATTTACATATTACCAAGAGAAAAAGCACATTATCTATGATCTTTTGGTCTAATTCTTATTTAGCATTTTTATTCCAGCCTATTTGGAAACATGTTTTTAATTGCAATATATGCCTGACTGAATTAAGCTTGCTTGTTTTAAACAACCAAATCATTGGAACAGAAAAGGATTTAAAAAACAAGAATGCATCTCAGTGATTAAAAAAAAATCAGTGGAAATAAATGATCATAGAAGGTGCTTTTCAAAACCACTACTATTACAATTCTCAAAGTCCTACTCTGCCAAAAGAAGACTAAAAGTCATAAGTTACATGACAAGGAAATGTTTATGTGGGAAGAGGGTTGCTGAAAATCAACAACACTTGAAGTTTAAAGTGCGTCTTTGTAGATTTCATTGTATAATGTGTATTTCTTAGAAGATGGCTGACTTGATTGATCTATGCTAAGTAGAGACATTTCACATTTTTAAAACCAAAATGTTCAATCTGTATTACTCTTTGCCATCTTGTATATAGAGGCTATTTTTAAATCATTAAATTTTTAGATCTCTGTTTTCATAGCCACTGGGTTTTCTTTTTCATACTCCTCTGTCACAGAATTAAATACTGGCTTACTTTGGTACTCCTCATATAAAAAGTTAAATTACGATTATTTTAGCAATGCTATAGGTCTGGATTTTTTTAGGAAAATTGAGGGGTTTTTTTTTTTTTTTGGTATATGTGGCACTTCCAAGTGTATTTGCATTCAAAGAAAATTCTGGAACCTGTGAACACTATCTAATTCAAATATCTGGAACAAGGCTTGTGTTCCCCCAAAAAACCCACACATTCAGTAACGTGTAGGATGATTTGTTTTCATAATATGGATGTTACCAGTCATGTGGTTTTTAGAATCAAAGAAAAAAATTTTTTTTTTTTTTGAGACGGAGTCTCGCTCTGTTGCCCAGGCTGGAGTGCTGTGGCCGGATCTCAGCTCACTGCAAGCTCCGCCTCCCGGGTTTACGCCATTCTCCTGC